ACGCACACACACAAACACACACAAACACACACACACACACACACACACACACACACACACACACGCACGCACACGCATACACGCACACATACAGACATATACACGTGCTGTATTACATTTACAATCATACTTTGGAGAAAAAAGTAATAACCCCTCTCTAATAACAACAAAGAGAGCAGCTGTAAAATAATTTGGTTTATTAACCCTTTCGAAACCCTGCAATCCTTGTACGTCAAGACAGGTGAGGAAAATTATATGTATAAAAGTGGACTTGGGAGGCTCTGTATGCAAACCCCTCCCATATTACCTAACCCACACCTTTGGAACTTTGCAGGCGTCCACAGCATCCATGTGGCTAGCACCTAGATCTAACTATAAACATCCACGCAAACTGCTTTCCCCGATTTTTCCAAAATGCTTAGTTTCGTCCATACAGAGTTCTAATCTTAGGAAAATCCGTCTTCTAAGACGCCATTGTAAACAAGTGAGGATTCCGTTCACTAGCCGTGCACACTGTTCCACACCTTTGAAACTTTGGAGTGTACAACCACGAAAGCGGAATAGAGCATCAATCTATACATCTATTTTTGGCAACTTGGAAACAAGTGTGTCACTTTTCTCTCAAGATGTATTGCTCCATTCCAATAGAGTGTAAATATAGTAGGCCAATGACTTTCAGTTGTAATTAATGCAGGGATCATTCCTTTCATCGAAAAGGGTCCCAGCTAGTTTTAAATAAGTACTTTTTTGACTTCCCTGAGCAGGAATCGAACTCACGTCTTCTGCCTCTGCGCAGTGGCAAAGAACCTTACATTACAGGATTAACGCCAGTTGTACGTGTCCGGTTCAAACCTTACTTTTATTATCTGTTGTTTCATATTTAGTAAGCTTCCACATAACTTATGTTATCTGTTATTTTATATTTGGTAAGTTCAAACATAACTTTTATAATCTGTTATTTTTATATTAGTCGAGTTCATACATGCGTTTTATAATCTTTTTAAAAATATAAATCTCTAGTTTATAAGTGAATTTTTATAATCTGTTATTTTATATTGTGGAGCTCACACATGACTTTTTGACCTTTTATCTGTTATGCACCGGATTCAGCCTTTAGTTTATGTTTGTAAAGTTTAGACATAAGTTTTACAATATTTTATTTTATATTTTGTGGAGTTCACACACAACTTTTATAATCTTTTATTTTATATTCGAGTTTGTACATGACTTTTATTTTCTTTTATTCTTTATTCTCTGTGTTCATACATAACTCTTATCATCTTTTATTCTACGTGTATATTCGCCATGCTCATACATACCCTTTAATCATATTTATTCATCTTTTATTATTTATGCACCGAGTTCATACATACCTTTTATAATATTTATTAATGTTTTATTCTATACTTTCCATGTTCAAACATAACTTTTATGATATTTATTAATGTTTGATTCTATATTCACCATGTTCATACCTACCTTTTATAATATTTATCAATCTTTTATTCTATATTCGCCTGGATCATACATAACTTTTATAATATTTTATAATATTTATTAATCTTTTATTCTAACTTC